TTTCAAATATATGATCTGTACTTTTAGTAGCTGTCATTTTAGTACTTTGTACATGGCAACTGTCATTGTTGTACTTTTCGATTGTTCTGTAACTGTAGTAACTGTCATTGTAGTACATTTATGTCCATTGGTCTGTATATATAACTTATTGTTGCGGTGTGGATTGTTCTGTATCTATAAAACAAACTCACCGTGACCCCCCTCCCCCCTCTTCCCAAAATAACAACAACAAACCATCAGATGACTGGATGGTCCCATTTGATGTTGACGGACGAACATATCTATATAACAGTCACAATAGCCCATTGTCCATTGGTCTCTATTTATATTAACAGTTATTTTAGTAGAGTGCCCAGTGTTCTGTATATGTATATGTATATATATATATATATATATATATATATATATATATATATATATATATATATATATATATATATATATATATATATATATATATATATATATATATATTTTTATAGAGTTCTGTGTTTTATATATATATATATATATATATATATATATATATATATATATATATATATATATATATATATATATATATATATATATATACATTAACTGTTATTTGAATACAGTGTCTAGGTAGTTTGTACTAACATGTTTATGCGCCTAAATCGATCAAGGTGAGCAATTGTTTGTGTACTGACTCATTTATTTACAAAAACATTATGATCATTATGGGCATACACACGTGGATGGTCTGTGTTTGAGGTGCGTGTCCTATTGTCACACGACTTCCATTACATATGTGTCGTTTTGACACTGCTCTTTCAGGCGTGGCTCACATGAGCTCACTCTGTCTGACCACGGGCAAGAGCTCATCCGTTGTGGAGATTCTCACAGAAAACTATGCACCAGTTACAGCCGCGCATGAACTGGCACACAAGTAAGGACGGTACAGGGCTTCATGGCCGGTAATAGGGAACACTTTTCTTTTCGCTAGCCCGGCTGTAGAGATAACGGGATTATGGTAACATAAAGCGTAGTAAACCGTGATGATGCAAAACCTGGAATTATTTGGAATCATTTGTACCGGAAAATTGCTATATTTCTCCATTAACCATAATCTGGTTACGACTGTGGATTTGAGGACTGAGTCTCGCGACTGCCTTTTCAAGACAGCGTTGGAAATCAGACTCAGACCCGCCAAGCCTTGCTCGAGAGGCAGACTAGTGCGTACCAGGTCTTACCTTTAAATTTGGCTATCGTCTTTACCTATTCCCTTTTTAACGACGGTGATAAATCAAAAGGAACATTAAGTGACTTTCACAAAGGTATACATTTAGCTCCACTTCGTCCGTCTTTTTACTAACTCCATCTCAAGATGTTGGTAAAAGTCAGGCCTGTATACCGGATACGTTGTTACTCTAAAACACTGACACCACACACACACACATTAGAACACTAATACCTCACGCAGTCTAAAACACTAATACCTCACACAGTCTAAAACACTAATACCTCACGCAGTCTAAAACATTAATACCTCACTCAGTCTAAAACACTAATACCTCACACAGTTTAAAACACAAATACCTCACACAGTCTAAAACATTAATACCTCACACAGTCTAAAACACTAATACCTCACACAGTCTAAAACACTAATACCTCACACAGTCTAAAACACTAATACCTCACACAGTCTAAAACACAAATATCTCACACAGTCTAAAACATTAATACCTCAAACAGTCTAAAACACTAATACCTCACACAGTCTAAAACACTAATACCTCACTCAGTCTAAAACACTAATACCTCACACAGTCTAAAACACAAATACCTCACACAGTCTAAAACACTTATACCTCACTCAGTCTAAAACACTAATACCTCACACAGTCTAAAACACTAATACCTCACACAGT